CCTGGGAGTCCTTTATAAGAGCTGAGATGCTGCAGGCGGCCTCTACCAATTGTTTAAGCATGTAGACAACTGCACTGGTCATTAATGTAACCAACCTTTTCTCTGAGGTATAGGATGTGTACCCATGAGGCAAGACTTTAAGCAACCATGGATTCCTGAATCTATGATACTATTTATAAGATCTCCTCCTAACAAGTTTTGGTGACATGCCTTTAGACATTGGAATGATGTAACATCTGAATACATATAGTTGATGGAAGTCAACATGTTTAAATTGATATTCAGTATTGTATCAGATTATATTTATATACATCTCCATTATTTATCTTAACATTTTTATTTAGTTTAGTGGTTCATTTTAGGTATACATGATGATCACATTCATCATAGGGAATTTGTACCTGTACATGATAACTTAAATTTTTTCCTCATTCCCCTATCTATCCTTCCACCCCTCTTTCCCTCCTTATTTGTTTTGATATGGGGTCCCCTATGTAGCCCATGCTGGCCTTGAACTCACGTCAGCCCTCCTGGTTCAGCCTCAGAGCGCTGGCAATACAAACATGCACCAGCATGCCTAGCTTCTCCTCCTTAATTAAAAAAGCTTTGTTTCACTATTTGTAGATAGCATGGAAGATACCAAGCAGTCCACCAAAAACTTCTATTTTGAACCCCAAAACATTGGTAGATAGATACAGAGTTAACACTAAAAAAATCAATAAACTTCCTATGCAGGAATAGCAAACTCAATAGGAGAGAAATTAGGGAAACAACATCTTTCATAATAGCATCAAAAAATCCACCTAGTAATCAATCTAATTAAGCAAGTAAAAGACCTCTACCTTGAAAACAATAGTAATCTGAAAAAGGAGATTGAAGAGGATATCAGACTATGAAGAGATATCTTTTCTCTTAGGCAGGGAGAACTAATATAGTGAAAGGGGCCATGCTTCCAACCTTGTTATACGGATTTAATGTTGGGGATCACAAATTCACAATGGTTACTGTTACATACTTCCCTAAGGGATGAATGGAGGTTTGGGATTATCTCAAGTCTTTTGAGATTTCCCATCGTCTTGTTAGGGTGGGCTCTCACTTCCCACTTACTGAGACTACTAAGACTAAAGATGCTCCAGGGAAAAGTCTTCATTAGTTTGTGACTACCACTGACCTCTAAGTCATCTAATAACCCCTCCGGTCAGTTCTTCTAATGCCAACAGTAGTCATTTCTACTTTACTTGTATGGGAAAGGACCTCCAATATAGAGTTAGCACTGATAATCCTTGGTCTTTATGTCCATCCTCCTTGGCCTTCATTACTATGAAAGCTTAGATTCTTCTTTACCCAGTTTGAAAAAGGCCCTTGAGCTTAATTGCAATCTTTGGATTTTTCAAAATATCTCAGCTTGTTTTCTGAAAAAAATGGTGATGCCACACTGCTGGAAGTGTTCTGTACGTATAACGTTGATGCTAGATGAAAGCATTTTGTGACACAGATCTTTCTTCCCCAAAAAGTAGAGAGGTAGAGGTAGCTTTCTGGTTGCTGAGTGATAGCAGCATGGAAGAGTGACTCCACCTGATGAGAATTCATAAAGATAGTATGAGTCCTTTTTTCTAAATTTTCATTCTGTGACAGGGAGTAATAGCAAGCATGAATGCATAATGAGAATCAAAATAATACAAATGTTAGAAACCCAAAATAAATCATTACAGGGCATGAAAACACAGAAGAGGGCTGGGGATATAGTTCAGTGTTGCAAGCATCTGCCTAGCAAGCACAAGGTCCTGAGTTTGATTCCCAGTACCTGAAAGCCTGAAAACAATCAAAGCAAAAGCACACACACAAAAGAGCAGTTGTATTATTGTAATACATACAGCTTTCAGCTTTTAGCACAGCATTAAGTGAAGTCACAATTGTCAGTTCTTGTGCTTCATTTGTCCCTGCTAGGAATCTTGGTCCTCATTCTGGGAAGCCTGGCTCTAGCTTCCTGGTCTTCATAAATTACACTGTAGTATAGTGGACCAGGTAATCTGGGGGAAAGGCAGGAGGTTAGAGATGAAGGAGAAAGGTGAGGATGTGGTGAACGCCTAGAAATCTGAGAGATGAAAGACAGGAGGCGGGGATGAGATCTAGTTCTAAAACAGTCTCAAGTGCAACATCATCACCTATGACAGTGCTCCTTCATCATGCTTAGACAAGAAGCATAATTACAAATTATGTTAGATATTTATTTATTTCTCTTTCTATTTATTCATTGTTTCTGTATTTTAAGGAAGGGTCGACAGGGTGTTCAGGATCTCATTACCAGATCAGACTCATAGTGATCTGTCTGTTTACAGCTTCCCAAGAGCTGGGATTAGAAGCATGCACCACCACGCCCAGTCTCAATTGCCATTTCAGCATGCAATTTGGCCTGCCCCAAAGTTAGAAGTTTATTTACAGAAAGATACCATTAAGAGATCTGAATTCAGAGTCTAGAACTGGGGCCATGGAGTCTGTTTGTATTTAACAAGAAATGCCATGCTAGGTAAAATGCAACTTGTCTAAAAATAAATAAGGAGCTTCCAGGACTATGTTTGGTAACAATCTAATCTAGTGTTCGTGGAATGTTTGCATGCATGGACATGGAAAAACAGTATGACAGCAGAACATTTGCAGGGCATGTAAAAAAATGGTTACAAGAATTCCAAAGCAGCTTAATTCTTTGTCTTTTATGAGATTTGTGTGCATATTCTAAGTAGCTATCCAAGTTTCTAAGAATTACAGCATGATTGACAAGCACAGTATCCAAACTGAAGCAGGGCAATGGGCAAGGAAAGCATGTCGCCTGCTGCCACCTTGTGGCAGAATGGTGTAGTTAATAACCACAGGCTGAAAGCTGAAGGACATCACTTGAAATCAAGGACTCTATTTTCTCCTTAAAAATTACTATTTTACTTAAATGATAATGCTTAAAAAATCAACAAGATATTTACAAAACAAATTAAATTAAATATTAAATAGCATTAATGATGGTGTTTTCCCATTTTTGAGTGAAGGAGAAACATGTTTTGTAGACTTTTTCATTTTTCTCTTAAAATGATGCGAGAGGTAGTGGATGGACAGGCATATGAATATTGTCAATAGCAGAGATCTCCACCACCTTTCATTTATCCTGTTTTCCAATTCTTTTCCATAAGTTTACCTCGGAAGCTGGATAAAATACTCTGAAGATGTGGAAAGAAGACTGACGCTTTCAGAAAAGATGTACATTATCTCATCAATAGCTGGAGAACACAGTTACCTACTCTGATGGTTAACTGTATGTGTCAACCTCACCGGGTACTTTTCAACACATGGGCCATCAAAGGAGTTCTCAAACTTGTGCTTCACCAATAGAAGTGTCAAGTCTATTTAGAGCAAATTGTGTGTGTGTGTGTGTGTGTGTGTGTGTGTGTGTGTGTCTATGTGCATGTGCACGTTAGGCAAGTATTCTAGTACCAGACACCAAAAATTTTTTTCCATTGTTCACCTTCTCAGTTTATGAACAATTTATGACCTCCCAAGTGATGGAACATACAATACCAAAATAGTCACACTGCCAGAAACACAGTATAGACTGGGTTTGCTTTTCTCCCAATAAGCCTACATTTTGTTTACATTCTTCTGTGTGTGTGTGTGTGTGTGTGTTTAGTACAGGGTCTACAGGGTCTCACTATGGATAGAACTCATAGTGTTCCTACTGCTTTTCAGCCTCCCAAGCGCTGGGATTACAGGTGCGTGCCATCACACCCAGTCTCAGTAGTCTCAATCTCTGTCTCAGCATACCCAATGGGGGGGGGGTGGCACAGTCTGTGGTGCCAGGGATCGAACCCCAGCCTGCACTCCGCCTAAGCAGGCGCTTTAGTCCTCTGAGCTACCTGGCCAGCCTTTCATTCCTTTTTGAAAGCACAGTGATCTTTAACCCATCTCCGAATGCTTTTTGGCTGTCATTAACTATTATTAACTTAAAAAAAGGGAGGGGGGTCTAAGGGCTGGCTGCTTAGGCAGAGTGCAGCTGCAAGGGTTCAATCCCCAGCCTGCCATGCCAGCCCTGCCCCGCCCCCGGGGCGCGCAGAGACTACAATTGAGACGGGGCACGGTGGCACGCACCTGTAATCCCAGCCTTTGGGGGGCTGAAAACGGGAATCACCAAGAGTCCGATCTATGCAGTGAGACCCTGTGAACCCTGTGCCAAATACAAAACAAAAACAAAAACAGTCTAATTAGATTAAAATCGACTAGTAATGAGACTAGGGACCTCTAATTGACATATCATCCTTTTTCTGGTCAACCTTTTGCGCGTCTCCCACCAACACAGGAGCAGTTGTTATCCTTTCTGTTTACACAAGAATAATAGTCGTCAGTCTTCTTTGCACTTTACACTGTAGGTGTGTGGGATGAGAGGTTTTTAAAAAAGCGTCTTTTGTCCAGGTACTGCCCTGGATGAGCCAAAATTCCCCAGATAATTTTCCCTACAAGAAACATTTACAAAATCCGACATCCGTGAGTCCTCCGATTTTCCTCAGAGCATTTGATTTTTAAATGCTGGAGCCCAGAGATAGTTTCCGGAGCTGTCTGAAGCTAATTGCCTTTCCTGAGATAGACAGGACGATCATCCAATTGGCAGTCAGAACGAGTTTAGGTAGAACCAGTGAAAGGCAACGAAACAAGCTGCTCTATTTCAGTGGAAAAAATCGCATCACAGTAACATAGACCAAAAGGCCAACAAAAGTCCAGGGCACTCCGGCGGGCGTCAGCGAAGAACAGGTACTTCTAGAAGTTTTAACCCGGACAGGATCCTGCCGGGACCAGGCGTTGGCGGGGGAGGCGGGGCTTACTCGGCGTCCTCCGCGCCCTCATATTACGTCACTTCTGCCCGGCTTCTGGCTCCGTCCACCAAATAGGGTTGAAGCAACTTCCTCTGTTCTTCCTCCCTCTCCCGTGACCCCGCCTCCCGGAAGCGCGTCGGTCTGCGGAGGTCAGAGGTGAGGGATGCGAGGCAGGCGCGGACCTTCGTGAATAAACTGTCGCGGGCTGTGCCCCGGCGCGTTGAGTTGGAAGAACCGGGGTAGATGACGGTTTAGGACACCAAGAGAGAGGTACGAACTGGGGGATCTGCGCCCGCTCTGGCTCCAGGGCCGCCATCCCCCGGCCTGCGCCGAGCGGCGCCGGAGGCCGGCCTCCCTGACCCCTGTAGGGTCTGCCGGCGCCCCTTGCCCCGCACCTGCCTCCGCCTTTGCAGGTGAGGTTCGACTCTGATTGCTGCCGCCTGTACCCCTTGCCTGGAACTGGAAGTGGGAGCTCTGCAGCCTCGCTGGTGGCCAGCTTGCTTCCCAAAGTGGCAAAGTGCCTTAGCACCCGTCCCGCTTTCTCTGAACCCTGAGACTGAGCGTTAGGTAGGGCCCCGAGGAAGGACTCGGGTTCCCACCCAGACCTAACCGCCCTGCGGTGGTGGGCGCACAAAATAGTGAAGAAAACATTTGAAAACGAGGGGCAAGTGCAGCTATTACGGGGGAGTTAGTGTTTCCGAGTGCTTAGTTTATGCCTGGGCATTGTGCTGAATTCTTCTTGTAATTGTGTCGTGTATTTCTTACAGTCATAGAAATTACATTTCTGTTATTTATGGTTTAGCCAGCGGGTTAGAGATAATAACTGACTTGACCAGTATTAATTTCCCAGATCTTTCACCTCTGTGATTCTTGAAACACTACAGAAATAACTTCTGTCATAATCAAGTTTTTATGTTGGTATAACAGGAAGGGAGATTCCTGTAACTTATTTGTTGTCTCTTCACTCTGTTCCTATTGTCTCCTTAACGTCTTATTTAGAAATTTATAATAATGTCAGTGTAGCGCTGATGGACGCTTCAGTCAATTTCGTGGATTTTCCTTTCTTACGAGGAGTTAGGTGTGGAATTTATGGGTGGTTCTAGGTTAAAGAATTAGAACATTGTTAGTTTCTATGTCTCAGGCAGTCTCTATATTTTTGTTAACTTGGCAGATCATCTCAATTTCTGACTTACTCTTTTTCTCCAGGACAACAGCTTGCATCTTAAGCCAAGATGTCAGGGATTGGAAATAAAAGGGCAGCAGGAGAGCCTGGCACATCCGTTCCTCCGGAAAAGAAAGCAGCTGTTGAAGATTCTGGGACCACAGTGGAAACAATCAAGCTAGGGGGTGTTTCTTCAACGGTATGCGAAAACAGTGTTATAAAATTGTGCGTTCATATGTAAGTTATAACCTGAACTTAAAAATTTGTGGAGGGCTTTTGGAGTGTGTGAAATGATATAGTGGTTAGTTCTGAAAGAGAGGTATATTAACATTTGATTTTTGTTTTCAAGGTGTTTGTGTTCTTTTGAGAGTTGGGTGCCTGACAGAGCATTGACTATAGTTATTTAGCAATTAGAATATAAACATTTTATTTTTTGTTCACTACAGAATGTGGTACTCGTTCTAAGTAGGAGTTTAACAGAATCATTGGGAACAATAAAGAGTGAGAATCTGAAACTGGACAGCCTAAAGTTTATTCTCTGCTGTCCCGCCACTTCAGGTGGTGTGGACTTGTACTTCCTTTCCTTTGCCTTTGTTTCCTGGTCTACGAAATGAACTTATAGTACCTATCACATTAGGTTGCTTAGAAGATAAAATGATAGTCTCTGTTAAGCACAATAAAGTGCCTTTGCAATAGAAAGTACCCATAATAGTGGACTATTAATAATTGTTATTAGACTAGATAGGATTGAATTAAACTGGTATCCTTGCTGTTATGGAGATGACAAGAGTGTATTTCATTAGAATCTGTGTATACTACAAACTAATAGTAATGTATACTTTATTTTATTTATTTTTTATTTTTTTATTTTTATTTATTTGAGAGAGAGAGAGAGAGAGAGAGAGAGAGAGAGAGAGTGGTGTGTGTGTGTGGCCAGCTCAGCCCACCAGGGGGCGGGGCTGTCTGGCATGTGGTGCTGGGGGATTGAACCGCGGTCCCTGATGCTTTGCCAAGCTTGTTCTAAGTAGGTGCCTTAGACCACTGAGCCATCTCTCCAGCCCCAGTAATGTATACTTTAAATGTCAGAAGCTTACAGGTTTTGGTCTAGTTTAAGAGTGTGCATTTTGGAACAGACCTGGGGATATGATACTAACATGCTTTTCATTTGTATTACTTATTTGATTATTGAGGTTGAAGTTCAGAAAGGTTGAATTTTTTGAATCTAAATATTAGAAACATTTATAGTAAATAGTTGGCAAAACGTCCTTTCTGGAACTATCTGGGGTTCTTGTACTCTGTTGCCAAGAGATGATTCTTTCATAGCATTGCCTTGTATCCTGTACCTCTAAGTCATTTTTTAAAAGATGTCTTTTCAGATACTCAAATATTACTGGTTGTTGAACAGCTGCTATTTGCTGGCTGTTGTGCTACACACTGAGGGCACACTCTGTACTTCAGTTTGTAGGGTGGTACCGACATGGAAATGAACTGTTAAAATAGAGGGTTGTGTATGCCATTAATAGCGAGAAACACATGCTGTAAGGGAAGCAGAGCACACATCCCAGTTTGTATCCCCAAGATAGGAGGAGCTGTTGGAAGGCCTTAAGTAGAAGAGAGTAACACACTCTGACTTCCACGTGGAGAAGAGACTGTAGAGGAACAAGGATTATAAAGAGTCCAGTTAGCAGAATTGTTTCCTTGCTCCTTTGTACCCTTTTGTTGCCATACCTCTATTTCTCCAAAGGTGAGGGATATGAGGCATATATTGTACTGGTTCCTGACCCAGTTGGCTGAAGGTTGCTCTTGAAGGGCAATAACTTGTCCTGCTCCTTTCAGAGTTGTGAAAATGAACCTGCAGAGTGAAGCTGAAACAATGGCAGTGTGAATGGAGCTGTCCGTTACAGGTGTGCTGAAATCTCATGGGCTGGCTGGACATGTGCAAAGTATTTGCTGTGGGAGGCTTTTACAGTAGTCATAAGGAGGTATCGTGGTGGGGTGGACCACTGTGATGACAAGATTATGAATGGATTGGACGAAGCACTTGAAAGATAGGGAGGGCCACCTTCCTATAGGTAGATACAGAGATTTTGAAAGTGAGTTTTCTCTTATTGAACCAGGGAGGAATATGAGAGAAGTAGATTTTTGGGAGTCATAGAAGATGAGTCATGAGTTTGCTTTTTTTTTTTTTTTTTTTTTTTTTTTTTTTTTTGCGGAACTGGGAGTTGAACTGATTGAGTTTGCTTTGGTTTTTAACATTCAGATATTTTATTAGATCCCTTCCTAGTTAGGTGGTTGGTGTAACCTCTACTCTGGGGAGCGAGCTGGGTTAAAGCTTCCCATTTCGGAGTTATCATTTTGTAGATGGTATTTAAATTACTGAGAATACAGAATTTCTTAGTAAGCATAAAGAAGAGATCTGAGGACTGAATATAACTTGTTCACAAAAGGAAGAGGAGAAGAAAATAAGAGACAGTGTTATGGTTCATGTCTAGTTGTCCCCCCAAAGCCTCATGCAGTTGTGGGATGGACTTCTAGTTTGTAATTAACTCATGATCCACTGGGATTATGGGTGTGAGTGCTGCTGGGATTTGGGTGTGAGTACTGCATCCAGCCCGGGGCAGATAGCCTGCATGCAGCATAAGGGAGACAGACCTACTCTCTATTGCCATTGTTGCTGCTACTTCTCCATTTTGCTCTTGCTCTTTGCCCCTGCCATGAAAGGTTGCCTCTGCCATGTGCCACTCTGCCTTGGTGCCAGCTGAGTATGGATTGAAACCTCCAATAACTGTGAGCTAAATAAACCTTTCTTTCCTTCATCTTGAGTGTCAGGTATTTGTCCCAGCAACAGTAGAAGAGTAACTGAGACAGACAAAAAGGTGGAACAGTGAGATAGGAAAACAAGAGTGGGATCCTGGAAAGCCAAGAAAGTGTTTCAAGGAGGCATTGCTCAGGTGCTGCTGATTGATTGTGAAGGAAAGGACTGAGATGTTTAGCAATAGTGTGTTGGATACTCAGCAATACCTATGTTGGTGTAGTGGTGGGGATGGAAGTCTAACTGTGAGTTTAAGATAGTATGAGAGGAGGAGAATTAGAGAACAGAGGATAGAGACAGTGCTTTGGAGTAATATTACATTAAAGTAGCCAGAGGGAAATGTGGAATCTAGGGCAGGTTTTATTTATTTATTTTTTTGTCTTTTAAATATGTAGACATTGGATTGGCCAAGTTGCTCAGTGGGTTAAAGCACCTGCTTAGGCAGAAAAACAGGGGTCTGAGGTTTGATCCCCCGCCTGCTGTGCTAGCCCTGCTCCCGGGGGCAAGCTGAGATGCGATTGAAACTGGGTGTGGTGGTACATGCCTGTAATCCCAGTACTTGGGAAGCTGAAAACAGAATCACTATAAGTCTGATCTGTGTAGCGAGACCCTGTAGATCCTGTACTAAATACACACACACACACACACACACACACACGCACAATTTGTAGACATTGCAAATGTTTATTTGTTGATTGAAGTGATTTGGTAGAAAAGATAAAATTAATGATATAGCAAAAGGAGGAGCTAGTTACTGATGTGATGTCCTAAAGTTGCTGAGAGAGGGAGTGTAGTGTCGTGTACAAGAGGAGGAGCTGGCCTTCACCAATGGCAGAGGCAGTTTATCCATGGCATTAAGGGTGTGAAAGGGTGTGGGTTCAGATGTAGGTAATTGGTAGCTATACTTGTGGCAAGTAGGTATGAGCTTTGCCTTCTGATTGCTTCTTTCGGTGAAATCAGAGGTGAAACTTACCAAGAGTGAGGATGGGGAGGAAGTTTTGGAGGTTTGAAAAGACAGGAGAAGGTATAAAGTCATCTTGAAGAGAGAATGGATTTGAGAGAGATAGTAAGCTTACTCTGTAGCACTGGTTACCAATTTGAATTTGTGAGCGTTGACTTTAAAGTTAAGTTAATTAGTCTTTTTTTTTTTTTTTTTTAATGTATTTGACGCAGGATCTCACAACTCAGCTTGGACATAGTGATCCTCCTGTTTTCAGACTCTCCAGCACTGGGATTATACTTGTGTGCCACCATGCCCAGTCTTGTTGGCCAGCTCATTGTGCTTGGGGGCAGGGCTGGAGCAGCATGTGGAGCTGGGGATCAAACCCTGGTCCCCGTGCTTGCCTAAGCAGTGCTTAGTCTTCTGAGCTATTTCGCCAGTCCTTAATCTAATATTTTTATAGTCACAGCTACATTGATCTTGGATTAAATAGAGTTGGCTCTCATTAGGGTTGAGGTTTTTTTAACAAAAATAAGATGAATCAGAGAAAGAGGGGAAGGTATTTAAAAGGAGGTGATTATAGTGACTGATAGAATTTGTTTGCTGAAGAAGGAGGTGAGACATGAGGAATGAAATAGAACTAAACAATCATTGATTCTGGAGAGGCTGCATTGTTGAAGCAGGAAACAGCAAGCTAATGAGGCAAGTGGTAGTTGCAGAGAATGAGCTTGTAGAGAATCTGCAGGTATAGTTAAGACTTAGAGTGAGGATAACTGGCAGCTGGTGACAGAGGTAAGAAGAAAAGATTACGGATAGAGAGGAGGTCAGTACTCCAAGGCACAGACCACCAGTGTGGGGACTGAAGCCATTAAGAGTTATGGGGGAGTTTGAGGCTAGCCTGGGCTACAAAGTGAGTTTAAGCCAGCCTAAACTGCATAATGAAACCCTGTTGCAAATAATAAATAAATGAAAATAAAAATAAAGTTTTAAAAAAAGAATTATAAAAGGAGCAGTAGGGTAAGTAACATCTTTGAGAACTGAATGAGTGACCTGGGTATTTCTAGAAGGTCAGCAAATGGGATGGCACCTGGTAAAGACTAATGCAAGAAGCTGTTTTAAAGCTAGGAGGTTTTAGTGGAATAGGTGGAATAATAACTTGGAAGTAGCAATGGGAAAACGGGGGAGATAAAGTCTGCCTCTAGGTGTAGGGCTTCAAGGAGTGGGAGAAAAACAGCTACCATTGGAAAAGCATACTAGGAAATAATGTTCTCATTTAGATTTTAGTTAGAGCAAGAAAAAAAAGGCAATGTTCAGAGAAGGGACTAAGGATATGATTTATTACTAGGATGAATAAGCTGGTACAATGGAGGAAACTGTGTAGGTTGATGTATCAAGAATATCTTAATCAGGGGCCAGGGAGATGGCTCAGTGGAGTAAGCACTTACCTGGCAAGCACAAGGGACTGAGTTCAATCCCTGGTTCTGGGGGGAAAAAAAAAAAAGTCTTAACCAAAACAGAAGAACAAGAAATTAGTGCCCAGCACTTCAGAGGTTGAGGCCTGAGTATCATTGCGAGTTTGAGACAAGCCTGCATACCAAGAAGAAAGGAAAAATAAAAATAGTGCTCTGATAAGCAATTCTAACATTAAAATTTATTCATTCCTAGTTAAAGTGAGAAAGTAAACCATAAGGCGTGCTCTTTCTTTGCTTGGGTTATTCCACCCCTGGGCCTATCTCCAGTTTATTCTAGGAAAGGAGCTAGAGGGGTTAAAGGTATGTGTGGCATTACTCATGAGGTGAGGACTAGTAGAAACAGAGGAGAAGAGAACCTCAGCACAACTTGAGATTTTCAGAATGTGTGCACATATGTTGGTGAGTCGTGTGAATGGAACAGGGAGGTGGAGAATTGGGGTATTTCCTGTCTTATAATTTTGATCTCTTAGATAGGAAGCAGGGCCACCTGTGTAGTGTGATGTGAGAGGGACAGAGCTCAATAGAGTTTGATATTGCTTGGATAGAGAAGGGACATTCACTTGTTAAATAAAAGAATGTTTCTGCACAAATTATAAGATGTGCTCAGGTTAGAATTCGTTTTGTTACGTCACTGGTTTCCCTGGTTAACGACTTTATTTGAAGTCTCATCATACTGGAGATAGGAGTAGAATAGTCAGGTGTCTGGATGAGTGGACTGGACAGGCTATTCACACACATAGAACATAAGGTGGACAGTTGAGATCGAGATAGACAGGTTTTTGAAGGAATGTACTTCAAGTTAAAATAAGCATATGGAAGCTGGTAGAAATAAAAGATGATTGAAAGGGAGAAAAAAAGGGAACTGAAAACTTTGGAGACCTAAGTGACCTGAAAGGACTGGCGTATGTGCCTTTTTTCAGGGAATGGGAAGTTGGAACTTAAGAGTACAGATGTAGCAAAGTCTCATATATCTGTGATACAGCTTTTGAAATTCATGACTGAAATAAATTGGAGGGGATGATCATTGGGTTTGAGGAGTTTGAAATACAACCTAGGTGGGAGAATTAGGGGGTTTTCATATGTACATTGAAGTCACCAGATGCATATTAGCAAGGACTTGGATAGAGAAACTAGATGTCAGTCTTGAATAAATGCCTTGTATGGAGGTAATAGAACTCGGTGGCAGTTGAAGCAAAGGGTAATCTAGATTGTGGAAGCACGCTGTCACTTAACTTTGTAGAAGTACACAGGAATGGAGCAGAGATGGCGAGGCTGCGGTTCTGGTGGGCTTGCTTGTTGCTCTTCTTATGTCACCTGTGCCTTATCTTTTAACCCAGATATTTATTGTAAGGGTTTTTTTTTATGTTTTTCCATAATTTTATTGAGAAATAGCGGTGAGACAGTTTCAAATCATATTGGTAGGACAGTTCCAATAATTAACACATTGCATACTGTCTTCCTAGTGGTTATTTGTTGTACAAGATGTAGACATGATATCCTATTTACAAACATTATTAGAACAAATCCCACTATTAATTGAATTAAGAGAATGTCGCTGTATATCTATCCTAACCATTTTGAATACACAGACACAAAATGGTTATTCATCTGTATCCCCTTTTTGTGTTTAGTTCCGTCATTTAAATATTATAGATGTGTGAACTCAGCAAAATATTCCAAAATAGTCCAGTAGTCCATAATATTATTGGGTCTTCCACTTGACTGGCAATGTCAGAAGTTGTTGACCTGAGTCCCCTACAGCTCAACATAACACCATGGCTTTACTTTTTTTGGGGGGGGTGGAACTGGGGATTGAACTCTGGCCCTTGCGCTTGCCAGGGAAGTGCTTATTCCACTGAGCCATCTCCCCGGCCCTTTCTTTCTTTTTTGGCTTTACTTCTTATACTTTGTTTTTATACTTTTCTGCTGGATGGTTAAGACCAAGGTAAAGCAGGACCTATGCAACAAGTGTTGTAGCTTTTGGATCTGATAAAGTCAGTCAGATCCCCTCAGGATTTATCCTGAAACCCTATACTGCAGTTTGTAGATCCTTTGTCAGTGTCAGCCACGTGGATGAGTCTCGGCCATTGCTTGACTAATTTGCTCTCTGTGAAAGCCTGAGAGAATGTTTTTTTTCCATGTGACTCTCCTTAGACACACTCTACATCATGGATCATTTTCTTCTGTGGCCCCATAATCTCCTTGATCAGAAAACTTGGGATACAACTGAGTTACATGATGTTATAGTATAGGTTGTCCTATGTCCTGAGTCTTCACAGACTTTGAAAGGCTAGGGCCAAATGTTGGCTTTCCTTGCGTCCCTCCTTTTTCTCTAATTTTTGGTCAGCAAACTTAGGTTGTTAACCCTCCAGAAGGGAAGCTTATTGTTATTACCTTACAACCTAGGCAGTTGAGCTTAATCTTACTATCTTTCTGAATATCAAACATCTTAGGCATAACATGGAACAGGTATTTTTCATCAAATATTGGTATGTTAAGCTTGAAGTCCCTACAGAGTATAATGAAAAAAATTTAAAAATTAAAATATATTTAAAAAATAGGAATAAAGAATTATATATGTTTACACATAAGTCCCGAAATCTAACCATATACAACATTGTAGCAGGACAGTCCCACAGTACCCCTTTTCCTGTCTCCTGCCTGTAAGGTTATTTTAATGAGCACATCTTTTTTCATAACTTCCCCAATGAAGTAATAGATGCTGTTGAGTATAGCAGTTTATTTGTCTAATCTCTTTGTGGAGATTAACAATCTGGTTTCCTGGAGCAGGAGGAGTTAGATATCCGAACACTGCAAACCAAAAACCGCAAGCTCGCAGAAATGCTGGATCAGCGCCAGGCAATTGAGGATGAACTGCGTGAGCACATCGAGAAACTGGAACGGCGACAGGCCACAGATGACGCCTCCCTGTTGATTGTCAACCGGTACTGGAGTCAGGTATCGTATTTACTTATTCAGACTTGTATGAGCAATTTAGTTCTTAGAACCTTTTTCATTTCTAAAATTTCGTGTCCTTTTCTTCTTTTCTTAATTGTATGTTTCTCCAGTTTGATGAAAACATCCGTATCATCCTTAAACGTTATGATCTGGAGCAGGGCTTGGGAGATCTACTCACAGAAAGGAAAGCGCTTGTTGTGCCTGAACCAGAACCCGACTCAGATAGCAACCAAGAACGCAAAGATGACCGAGAGAGAGGTGTTTATAGTGGTTTCTTTTTTCTTTTTTTAAATAATTTTATTGGGGGCCGGGGAGATGGCTCAGTGGAATAAATGCTTCCGGGGCAAGTGCAGTGGTCTGAGTTCAATCCCTGGTTTCACCAAAAAAAAAATAATAATAATAATTTTATTGAGAAATAGCAATGAGACAGTTACAATTCCGATTAGTAGTACAGTTTCAATAATTAATACATTGCATATTGTTCTCTTAGTGATTATTCATTGTACAAGATGCAGTCATGATAGCCTGTTTACATACACTGTTAGAACAAATCTTTCTATTCATTGAATTAAGAGAATGTAGCTATATATCTATCCTCATTTGAATATACAGATATAAAATGGTCTTTCATTTGTATCCCCCTTTTTTGTTTAGTTTTGTCAGAGAAGGGTATTCCACTGTCATTTAAATATTATAGGTGCATGAATTCAGCAAAATATTCCAATATAGTCCAGTAGTCCACAATAGTAATGGATTTTCCATAAGACTGGCAATGTCAGAAGTTGTTGACTTGAGCCTTTTACAGCTCAGCATATTAATATGGCTTTACTTTTTATACCTCATTATTATACTTTTCTGCTGGATAGTTAAGACCAAGATAAAGGAAGACCTATATAACAAGAAATGTAGCTTTTTTATCTGATAAGGTCAGTCACATCCCCTCAGGATTTATCCTGAGACCCTGTATCGCAGTTTGTAGCTCCTTTGTCAGCGTCAGCCATGTGGATGAGTCACGGCCATTGCTTGACCAGTTTGTTCTCTGTGAAAGCCTGAGAGAATAGTTTTCTTTCCATGTGACTCTCTTTAGGCATACTCTACGTCATCAATCACTTTCTGCTGTGGCCCCATAATCTCCTTGATCAGAAAATTTGGGACACAACTGAGTTATATGATGTTATAGCACAGGTTCTCCTATGTCCTGAGTTTTCACTGACCTTGAAATGCTAGGGCCAGAATGTTGGCTGTCCTTGCATCCCTTCTTTTTCTCTAATTTTTGGTCTGCAAATTTAGGTTGTTAACCCTCCAAAAGAGAAGCTTATTACTATTAACTGACAATATAGGCAGTTGAGCTTAACCTCACTGTCTGAATATCAAACATCTTAGGCATAACATGGAACAGGTATTTTCTATTGAGTATTAATATGTTAAACTTTAAGTCCGTACAGAATATGAAGAAAAAAAAAATAAAAATAATTTAGAAAGTAGGAATAAACAGTTACATATTTTTACACAGAAATTTAAAAATCTAACCATATACAACATTGTAGCACGACAGTCCTGTAACATTTTTTTTCTTGTCTCTTGTTTTCATTTATTACCCTCTTTAAAAAAAACAAACAAAACATTTACTTGAGAGACAGTATGGCAGTAATTAGTATGTCATGACAAGCAGTATGTATTTAGAAGACCAGAATGGCAGGCATTCCAAGCATGACCCTACCATTACACATTGCTATCCTCAGTGCAGTTGCTTAGTTCACAGGTGTCAGCATATATAGTTAGTCAGGGTGAGAATCCTGTCAATTAACTGCTAGTTTCAAAAACCTGCTGAAGATTCTCAGGATCATTGCCTTAACCATCTTGTGTATATAAATGTATGGCTTTGCCCCGTCATGTTTTGTAGCTTTTCTCCTTGCCCTCTCCTTATTGCCCAATCCTTAAGTTCTTGCTTTCCTTTTAATTGTCTAATCCTCAAGTTCTTGCTTTCCTTTTAATGATGGTTTCTATCGCTGCGTCTTATCTAGATTTCAAAGTTGGGCCTTGTGACACTGTCCATTTAAAGGGAAAAAAGAATTTACACTTCTTCTTTACCCCTCTGTGTTCGCAGGGGAGGGGCAAGAGCCGGCTTTCTCTTTCCTTGCTACCTTGGCCAGCAGTTCCAGTGAAGAGATGGAATCTCAGCTGCAGGAGCGCGTGGAGTCCTCTCGCAGAGCTGTGTCCCAGATTGTGACTGTTTATGATAAACTGCAAGAAAGGGTGGACTTCTTATCCCGGAAACTGAACAGTGGAGGTGAGGCAAGAGCCTGGGGACGAGGAGCAGTGAGGGAAGAATAGGAGTGCACTCCTATAGGTCTGGAAATACATGGCATAGTGTTAGAGCATGTGCTTGGCCTGGGTGAGGACCTGGGCTCAATCCCCAGCACCGAAGGAAAAGAAAATACTCATGCTGATTTGTAGTTTGCAGCTTAACCTGTTACTTTTAATTAAATTGCTTGAAATCCTAGTCTTTTCTGGTAATGACTATACAGTGGCATATTAGTATTTTAAGAATTCTTCACATTTGAGCCATATGATAGTCTTTCAGAAAGTTAAGAAAGAATTTTGTCAACCCATTCTGAGACTATATTAATGAGTTATATTTATAGGCAGCAGAATTAATTTTTTTCACTTTAAAGAATTAGTTTTGGGTATGTTTTCTTCTCTGTCTCTGTGTCTGTCTCGGTTTCTGTCTCTTTTTACAGTGCTGAGGATTGCAGCCAGGGCCTTAACAGAGCTATATTCTCAGTCTTTTTATTTTTTATTTTTTTTGACAGAGCCGGGGATTGAACTCAGGCCCTTCCACTTGCCAGGGAAGCGCTTACTCCACTGAGCCATCTCCCCGGCCCCAAAGCCTTTTTATTTTTAATTATTATTTTTTCTTTCAACTAAACTAAAGTACTGTTCTTCTTTCTCAGATAGTCTGATAGTGGAGGAAGCAGTACAGGAGCTGAATTCCTTCCTTACACAAGAGAATATGAGGCTACAGGAATTGACAGACTTGCTTCAGGAGAAGCATCATACCATGTCTCAAGAGGTACTTGACTAGAAAGAAGAGATGGCTGTAGTAAGGCTGGCAGACGTTGACTCAGGATTCTGAGTCCTCTTACTCTAGAGGACCTACTTTGATAGTGAAGAGCACACCGGGCAGGCTAATGCATGCAGGTCTGAGAAGCCAATATCTGAGGAAGGGATAAAAGAAAATAATTGACTATTTCTCCTTGACTATGCCTGTACTTAAAAAGACATTTTAAGATCCTCATCTTTAGGAAGAAATGGCATCCTATGGGATTTTACAAAGCACAGTGAAAGTCTAAAGTTTCAAATAATGAATTACTTCAAATATGATATACAGGAACAGTGTTACTAAAGAATGGTTTTATAAAAATTCAGCAGAATATGGGATATGGGAAATTGCATTGATTATGTCCTGGAAATTTGAGTGATACGAGCTTTTAATCCAGACTTAGACATAAATAGTGCCAAAGACCAAACCATGCCCAAGATCTGGGCCTTTATACGTAAGATTATTTATAGTAATAAGAGGCCTTATAAGATATGTGTGGCCTTCATGGTTATCATTTTGGCTTAGTTCAAATTGAGACCTATCTTGTTTCAGACTCTGACTTCTCACGCTGACTACTAATTCAAGCTTCTATGTACTTAGTGACTAGAATTTTAAGTACTATATAAATACTATCTTTAATGGTAAACTAGTTCTCATTTTACTATTAAGCAGACAAATTTAAAAAGGATAATGATCAGTCTGAGGGCAAATAGACGGTAACTGTTCAGTATTTTGAATATAGACCCGTTATATTTCAGAGCCACAGTCTTCATGTACTCTTGTTTTCTAGATGCCATTGTTAAGGTCCATCTGGGTTGTTTGCATGAGAATCATCTGGGAGTTTATGGATACACATCGATTCTCAGGGGCCTTTAGAGGGTTTAGAGTGGAGTAGGGTAGGAAAGAAAGGAAGCTATAATGTTTTAAGATAAAGTAGGTGCTGCCAAGATGGCAATGCCTTCATTTTATCACCCATCCCCAGATCTCAGCATTAGTAAGTTGGGGCACATTGTTTTGCTCATCTGGGTTGATGTACAGGATGGTTATAGCTGCCTGTGAATGTCCCCAGTCAACTGCGAGCTCATCTTGAGAGCTTTTCCTGCCTGCTGGGATGCCTGTGGTACTTCTGCATGGCCATAGGGTTAGTGTAGTTGCGTTCTTATGTGGCCACTGCCTTCTTCCAGGGAGTATTCTAAGAACACCAGGCAGGTCCTACATTGACTTTCTAACCTAAGCTTGAAGTTATGTAATGTGAATTTTCATTGGCCTTTAAAGTTCATTCAGATTCAAGAAAAGAAGACTTAGCTTGCACTTTTCAATGGGAGGATTGTCAAAGAATTACGAGAATTTAAACTAGCGATGTAAGCCATACCTTTTCTAACTTGTTCTTTTTTAATATGTTTTTCTGAATGCCTGTCTTCGGAATAATGTAGTTCTCCAAGTTGCAGAGTAAGGTGGAGACAGCAGAGTCACGAGTATCTGTCTTGGAGTCCATGATTGATGATTTGCAGTGGGATATTGACAAAATTAGAAAAAGAGAACAGCGACTCAACCGACACTTAGCAGAAGTTCTAGAACGGGTCAGTGCTGTTTTACTATAACTTGGAGTCTAGAATCATTTTAAGGAATTTTCTCAGAAAGAACTTGGAGAAAAAGTATTGTTTGGAGAAAAAGACTGATCCTTGTAAAGTATATTGGTTTGTGGGGCTAAAATCTTCAGATCTCTCACTAGGAATCTTTTTCTTCTGTAGGTGAATTCAAAAGGTTACAAGGTATATGGAGCAGGGAGCAGTCTGTATGGTGGCACAATCACAATCAATGCCCGGAAGGTAAGGCCAGTGGTCTGTGTAGGACAGTATTTGCTCTGGTGTCAGGTCCTGTGCCTGCTGCTTAGATAGGTTTACCAGTGATAAAGTCAGATTTCTTAGATGAATGGACCAGTGAATATGGGAAACTTGGGAATGTGGATGATTTAAAAATTCTTTGCTTTTATTCTCATTTGCAATTTTTCTGTTCCTTTCTAGTTTGAGGAAATGAATGCAGAGCTTGAGGAGAACAAAGAGTTGGCTCAGAACCGACACTGTGAACTGGAGAAACTTCGGCAAGACTTTGAGGAGGTCACTTCACAGAATGAAAAGCTGAAGGTGGGAGGCACATCTGTGTAGGACAGTAAAACCAGGCTTTTGATGATTAGTTCACATGGAGGTATAAACACTTGTGAAGATGCATCATTTATGAGGGGAAACAAAGTAGACAAAACTCAATACTGTCCTTTCGTGGTAAAAACTCTCAGTGAGTTAGATGTAGAAGAAATGTACCTCAGCATTATAGAGACTATCTATGACAAGCCTCCACTTTACGTCATATTCAGTGGTGAAAAATGGAGAAATTTCCCCCTAACATTGGAAATAAGACACAGATGGCCACTCTTGCCACTTCTACTTAATATAATACTGGAAGTTCTAACTAGAGCAGTTAGGGAAGAATTTAAGAAATAAAAGGGCTCCAAATTGGGAAGGAGGAAATAGTTATCTTTTTGCAAATGACATGTTTTGTATATAGGAAACTCTTAGTACTTCTCCAAAAAACTTGTAAGGATTGCAAATGAATTCAGTAAACTGGCAGAATGTAGAAACAGCATGAAAAATTAGTTGTTTCTGTATTCCAGCAATAAACTATATGAGGCAGAAATTACAATCTCATTTTATAATAGCATCAAAAACAAAATAGTGGGCTGGAGAGATAGCTCAGTAGAATAGGTGCTTGCCTGGCAAATGCAAGATCCTGAGTTCAATTTCCGGTACCACAAAAACAAAAAAACCTCAAACAAACAAACAATCAGTTATGAGTATATTTAATCAAAGAAATGAGATCTGTATATGGAGTAGATAAAAAATGTGATAGACTCATGCAGTGGAATATTCTTCAGTCATAAAAAAGGAAAGCATGTCACTGATGACATGAATGAATCTGGAGGACGTTATACTAAATAAGTCATACACAGAAAAGTGTGTGCTGCATGATCTCACTTGGGTATAGGACCTAAAAAAAGTGTAATTCATATAAGTAGAGGATAGATTAGGAGTTGCTTCCTGGGGGCTGGATGATGGGAAGATGTTAGAGGGCACAGAATTTCAGTTGCACGAGCAAGTTCTGAGACCTAATGTGCAGCATAGGGACTGTAGTATTACATGCTTGAGATACGCTAAGGCCTTAAATGTTCTCACCACATAAGAATGGCACTTGTTTATGGTAATCACAGTGGATATACGTGTCAAAATATGTTGTATACCTTCACTATAATTTTTGTTGATACTTCAAAATGCATGTAAGGAACATGTATATTCTGTGGGAGGACAGGCCGTTTATGTGTTATTTTTTGCCAAAGGTAGGACACATGTGGCTATACAGTTTCTGTCTGCCAGAATGGAAGAAAAAACATGATCAGTGATCCTGCTGGTTTTCAAACCTGTCCATTAGGATTTTCCCTCATCAGGGTATTGAGGGAAAAAAGAAGATTCTGGCAGTCTTCCTCATCTCTTAAGACAGTAACCTGTCTTATAATTTAATTTGTTTCCAAGTGAATAAATAACAATGAAGATGTTTGAACTAAAGAAGCACAATTGGTCTAAGTAAAATCATTTACAATGTTTGAGCAATTAAACCAGCAGCTGCTCAGGAAAAACGAACTATTTTTGTTACCATGGCAGAAGTATTTTCTCTGTGGTTAGTATGTACACATCCTGACAGGCTTCACAGGGCTCGTGCAGTGGCTCTTTCCCCGGTCCCTGACTTGTCTCTCCCTTGGGTCCTCCTAAGGTGGAGCTGCGGAGCGCAGTGGAGGAGGTGGTTAAGGAAACCCCCGAGTATCGCTGCATGCAGTCCCAGTTCTCAGTCCTGTACAACGAGAGCCTGCAGCTGAAAGCACACCTGGATGAGGCACACACCCTGCTTCATGGCACCAGGGGCACCCACCAGCGCCAGGTGGAGCTCATTGAGGTAGTGGGTTTACTTCATGTTCTGTATTTAAGGTTTTCTGCTCATAAACTTTCCAAGTTTACTCTCTCATGTCCAGCACTTCTCTCATTTATTCAGCATTCATTTATATAGAGTAACTGTAGGTCTTTACTGTGCATTGCTGGTGCATAAACAAAGGTAAGAATTCCTGTCCACAGGAGAATAAACCCCTTTGTGTGCAGTGGGTTACAATAGCAGTGTACCCAGAAGTGCAGTGATGAGGGAGATAGCCTCTGAGTCCTTTGCGAAAGTGAAATGTGAATCTTAGAGACAAATCCAGTGTACTGGTATTTAAAGGTAGGGCAGGTGCACTCCCAACAGTGAGACTAGCTGGTATGAAAATGGGAGGGAGACTGCGAATGGATTAGTACCTCTAGAGTGCATGTGTCTGGGGAGACTGCCTCAAGCCTTCCGTGCTGGTATGATGGATAGTGGCACCTCTGGCTAAGTTTTTATTTATTTATTTTTTAAATGTATTTAGTGTAGGGTCTACAGGGTCTCACTGTGTAGATCGGACTCGTAGTGCTCTTCCTGTTTTCAGGCTCCCAAGTGCTGGGATCACAGGCATGTGCCACCACACCTGGTCTTAGTCAGTGACTTAGTGCACCCTGGGGGCAGGGGCGGGCTGGCACAGCATGTAGTGCCAGGGATTGAACCCAGATCCCCAAGTCTACCTAAGCAGGCACTGTAGTCTGCTGAGCTATCTGGCCAGCCCTGGCCAAATGAATTAAATACTTTATAAATGTTTTTATGCTCTTTTATGATTTAGATTTTTCTATCTAAATTGTAATATTTTTAGAGTGGAAAGCTGTTTCCTTTTGTGTGTGTAGTGTCTTGCCAGTTTCTGCATTTGTGTTTGGAAGCTCTCCTGGTGTTCCTTGAGTATTGAATGAAATAGGAATTTTCAGCTATCCAATCTTTTTTTTGGCACATTCTTTTCTCATTTTTAGATCCTTACAAATCAAATAGAGGAGCCAGAATAATAGAATATGTGGTGGTATTTCTGCATTCTGGTGAGAATATTTGATTGGTTCCCTGTTCTGTATGTAGCGAGATGAAGTTAGTCTTCATAAGAAGCTGAGGACTGAGGTGATTCAGCTGGAAGACACGCTGGCCCAGGTCCGCAAGGAGTACGAGATGCTGAGGATAGAATTTGAGCAGACCCTTGCTGCCAATGAGCAAGCAGGTACAGATTTTCTCACTTCATTCTGCAGTTTCTTTGCTGTAAGTGCCTTCCTTGGTTCCAGAGACTTGTTAGTACTAACAACTCAAAAATCCTAGAATACCTTAAGTTAAATCTTGTAATTCATTTTGCCTCACAGTCTCAGTGTTTGTATTTTAAGTTGTTCAATTTTACTTTAACTTCTGACAGAGTATTCCTTCAGTAATTTTCCCTCTTTTCTAGAAATTGTTCATGTGTTCTTTACTTTCGCTGCGGTGCCTTCACCCTCATCGCAGTTCTTCCTAACGTTGCCATTGCTGTGTTTTAGGCCCTATCAACCGGGAGATGCGCCATCTCATAAGTAGCCTCCAGAATCACAATCACCAGCTGAAAGGGGAGGTCCTGAGGTATAAGCGGAAGCTGAGAGAAGCCCAATCCGACCTGAACAAGGTAGCGAGCAGCAGCAGAATGGGTATTACATGCTACTAAGTGGGCACAGCCATCTCTGAGTGAGGTGGCCAACCTGGTTACCATAACCAACATGTGCTTCCTTTTTCTTTGTTCTCCCAGACTCGTCTGCGTAGCGGCAGTGCCCTTCTGCAGTCGCAGTCTAGCACCGAGGATGCTAAGGATGAACCCTCAGAGCTGAAGCAGGATTCTGAGGACTTATCCGTCCAGTCTTCAGCGTCGAAGTCATCTCAGGAGGATGGCAGTGAAGTCAAATCCAAACGAGATGAAGAAGAGCGTGAACGAGAAAGGAGGGAAAAAGAAAGGGAGCGAGAAAGAGAACGAGAAAAGGAAAAGGAGAGAGAACGAGAGAAGCAGAAACTGAAAGAGTCAGAAAAAGAAAGAGATCCTGTGAAGGACAAAGAGAAGGGGAAACATGATGATGGAAGGAAAAAAGAAGCAGAAATCATTAAACAACTGAAAATAGAACTGAAGTAAGAGCAGTAGTTAGAGTTAACTTTTTAAGATCCTGAAATGCAGACATCGGAAGTGAAATGTGCAGTTGGTGACGGCTTGTCTGATCTTTGTAATATTTTAGACATAACTAAATGTATAATTAATGTGGCCTCAACTTCCAATTCAGTGCACAGCCTAAATGGCCTGCCTGGCTGTTGTAGCGTAGTTGAGGTGTTAGGTGTCAGTGAACCCTCTGGGGATCTTCACGGAATCAGATTAAGAGAAGGAGTATCATATTGAAGTAACATGCCAGAGAATGACTGGAACTTAATTACTGCTCTTTATGGGATTTGGGCTGATGATTCTGGCATCAGTTGCAGTTTTAAGTGGAGTGCATTTCATTGTAACTTGAATGATACTTGGTCTATATCATGGTAAACTAGTTTATATGTGTGTCAGATCATACTAAGGGACTTCTTAGGAAATCCAGTGAGGTTAATTTTATCATGACCTCACGTGTCACCCCTTCTGCAAAACCACGAAGTTGTAGGAGAACCGATTACTTTGGACTACCTATTTTGCATGCTGGACTCTTCATTGATGTTTGGATTTGAGAGGGACCACTGTGCTTAAATACTTGAGAGGTTTATTTTTTTTTTTTTTGTTTTTGGTGCCGAGGACCGAACCCAGGGCTTCCAGCTTGCCAGGCAAGCATTCTACCGCTGAGCCAATTCCCCAGCCCCAAATACCTGAAACTCAAGAGGAAATTGTTTAATAACCTAAAATCATTATTCTTCAAGTGATGGGTAATGAACTGTACTGAGATTGACAGTATATTTTAAGCTTCCACATTTCCCACTTTTCTTCTTCATACTCTGAGGTGAACATTTTTCTTCATGTGTCATATTAGAACATCTGAGAACCTTGGTTAAACTTGGCACCTGTCCCATACCTGCCTAATCTCAAGTTTCTAAGAGTGGGACCACAGAAGCTTGCCTATGTCTAAGTGACGTGAAATACATGTTTACACCTTAAGGCAAGAGAACTAAAGCACAAAATAATTCATTTATGTGATTTACTTTTTTTAAGTCTCTATATTCACTAGTCTGTTAATACTGTGTATATAATTTGGTGTTTTAGGTACAACAGAGATTAAAAAACCTTTTAAACTATACTGCTTAATTCAGAATTCACCTGCTCTAATGCTCTTTGTTTTCTCATTCCATCATTCTCTTCCCCCTGTAACCATGGTGTAGAAAGGCACAAGAGAGCCAGAAGGAGATGAAGCTCTTGCTAGATATGTACCGCTCTGCCCCAAAGGAACAGAGGGACAAAGTCCAGTTAATGGCAGCTGAAAAGAAGTCTAAGGCAGAGGTAATCTAGTCATTACTTGTCATTTGGATGAAAATCTTCACTTGTGGGGATTTCTTCATACTTGTTGAGGATGTAATTATTTACTTATTCTTAAAGCTTGCTTTTAATTTAGCAACATTTTCTACTTTTTCAAAGACCATCTGAGCAGATTCAGAGATTTCCTGCAAGGTAATGAGATACATCAGAATAAGTAGGAGTAGGAGTAGGTTTTGTAAACGGTGTGTTTTCCACATTACTTGTATATTTAATTACTATAGAGGTCATTTTGTCTGATTTCTTTTGGGAGAAATGTCTTAACGCTTTTAAAACTTGGAGACATAAGGGATAAAAGCATTAAAATCTATTGTAAAGAAAGGTACAGATGCAGTCCACAAAAATGGCGCTTGTAGAAGCATGAAATACAGGAATGAAGTATGTTAAAAGTGTGATGTGGTGTATCCTATCATGTATCATTGATGCACCATTTATCTTGCCCTATAATTCTGTCAGTGTGCTGTTGGTATTATGGGATGACCTACTGTACATGGATGGTATTCATTGATTTTTGAGTAAGTTATTACAACATTTCTTACGTGTTTTTCTTCTTCCTGTAGTTGGAAGATCTAAGGCAAAGACTCAAGGATCTAGAGGATAAGGAGAAAAAAGAGAACAGGAAAATGGCTGATGAGGAGGCGTTGAGGAAGATCCGGGCAGTGGAGGAGCAGATAGAGTACCTGCAGAAGAAGCTGGCCATGGCCAAGCAGGTAGGCATGCTTTGTTAATTGGCCTTTTAGGTTAGTGTTATTTGAAATGAGCTGCCAGTGAAATGTATTCTTTTGTCTTCCTTTTAATATTTTTCATCCTTTTTAAAAAAAATTTGGGCATTTGTTGAAGTCTTTAATTCTTCCATTATTTTGTTTTGTGTGGTTGGGAGATAGAAACTTTATTTTCAAATGGCTAGAGAGTTGTAAAAACATTGTTTATTGAGGATCTGGTCTTAGCTGACCTGGAATTAGGGCATATAGTGAATATAAGATGAAAAGGATGATATAAGATTTTATATACATCACAATTATAAATATATGATAATGAGAACACTGTGCTTCCCTAGTAGGTTATACATAAATAACCAGTGTGCTAACTGTGGTTGTTGGGTCATAAACTTTAGAGAGTATTTGCTTCTCACGATGAGCCTGCTGTTTGAAGTCCCGGTGAATTTTTATAAACATTCAATAATGAAGATGCCAAAAATGACTGGGAAATCCACATATATGTGCTGTTAGTAATTGTTGCACTGTTTCCTAGAAATAACAGAAGAGCTGGGAATATAATTCATTGGCACGTGCACCTGCCTGGAAAGCACGAGGTCCTGAGTTTGATTTTTGGTAGCAAAAAAAAAAAAAAAAAAAAAAAAGACAGACGAACAGCAGGATGATAGTGCGTTGCAGTAGATTGAAGGGTAATTTAATTACTGAATGTTTTGAAAACAAACTTCCATTAGATCCTATACACATACCTTTGTAAAAAGTGGAATTTTGGCTTTTAAATCTGATCATATCTACTTTCCTCCCTTTTTAAAACACATTATCAAGAACTGATACAATTGTAGGAAAGATTAGGCTAGGACTATGTTCTACTTTGAAAGCATCGGTGCTTAGGTTAGTATATACATATATTCTTATCCCAATAACTATTATTTTTTGGTTTTGTAATGTTTTTATTTGGGTACTAGGCTGATTTTAAACAACATATAATAAGAATGATGAAAAAACTGAAAAAGAATAGTAATATGATGTTTTCTAGCTATTGAAGCAAAGATTCAGTAGGTAAAATAGCTTTTGACAACTAGATAGGCTATTAGGATTGAATAGAAAATTCAGAAATAGATTAAAGTACCCATGGTTTTTAATTTATGCTAACAATGTAGTTTTAAATCAGTAAAAGGAAACTTAAATGCTTTGGGACCAAAATAAAGCAACATTGGAAATAAGATACATATTTGATTTCCAAATAAATTGTTGACATGTTAAAAAGATGACCACATAAAAAGAAGGAAAAGAAAGCGGGTAAATTATTTTGTAAATTTAAAGTGGAGAAGACCTTTCTAATAACAAAAAGACTGGGTGTATACATATCTACTAATAAGCTAAAATTAAAAAATGAGGAAACATGGAAGATTGATAATTTTGAGATTAAAAGATAAAAAAGTTCAGTGTGGCAAAAACAATGTTAGTAGTGTCAATATATGTAATGACTAAAAGGAAGAAATACTTTAAACTGTTGCCAGAGTTTATCTTCCTAATATATTTTTTAAATTCTGAAAACTGATACTAAAAAAACCTGATAGAAGAATAGGCAAAGATATGAATGGTTCACAGAAAAGATTTCAAATCACTGTTAAACATAAAAGGATGCTCAGCTGTTAGAATTACAAATTATAGCTCTTGTTAGATATCACTTGTCACCTATCAGGTTGTTAGGAAATTTAGAATGTTTGTAACTGTTGGAAGGTCTATAGATTACAGATTTAGTGTTAGAATTGTGATGAAGTTTGAGAAAATGTGAGACTTCATGACAGAAGTTCTGGTAACCAACTGCTACTTGATCAGTTTGCTAAATTAAGGAATGTGTAATTCCTGTTTGCCTTAACTAGCTTTAAGTACAGATCAGCTAATAAGTATCAGCTCAACAATTGATGTCAGTGACTTCAGATAATAGGGCTTCTTCTTCTGTCATCTAAAGACTAACCTACTGGCATTATTAAGGTTTTTAACAACATTTCTTAAGCTGGTTTCTCTCTTGCTAAATTAATTTATGTAAGTAAACTATAGGAAAGTTTTTTCCTATGCTCATTCCTTGGTGTTAGAAGATTCTGCTAATCAGAGTCTTCATTGTAGGAGGAAGAAGCTCTCCTTTCTGAGATGGATGTCACAGGCCAAGCATTTGAAGACATGCAGGAACAGAATATCCGTCTGATGCAGCAGTTGTGAGAAAAAGATGATGCAAATTTTAAGCTCATGTCAGAGCGAATCAAATCAAATCAGATCCATAAGTTGCTCAAAGAAGAGAAAGAGGAGCTGGCAGATCAAGTTTTGACTCTGAAGACTCAGGTAATTAGGATGAGTTCTATTCTGTCGGGAAAAAACCGGGGGTAGGAATAAAAATGCTGCAAAATAAATGTTTTAAGGACACTGGTAGTAAATCCCACATCCCTATAAAAGACCTCAGTGTAGTCATTAAAGTACATATGGATTTGCTAGTGTAGAAACAAATGTCCAAAATGTATCAAGTGGTCTGTTATCCCTTTTGTGTGTTAGAGTGTATGTGCATAGATTTTAAACATTTCTGGAAGGCTTCAGGAGAACTGTTAAGAATGATTATCTGAGTGTTGGGACAAGCACTTGTGGGTGAGGGGTTAAAAGGTAGTTGTATGATTTTATTTTTTAATCTTCAGTGTTTAATTCTACTTGGTGCATTAATTTAAAGAAAAAGAGTATTTTAGAATTTCTGGACATTATAAAAAAGACATTTGGACTTTTGTGTGAGCCAAAATTTATATGTTCTAGTAGTTGTATAGCTTTGAGAATTAGTATGTCTATGGAAGATATCGTATGTATATTTCCTCTATGTTTAGCAATTTGGAAAGTACTATTTTTTTCATTGGTTTCCTATGCTATTACTTATTCTGCATCTATATTTTATATTAGTGTGTTAAGTCTTTAATAATCCTACTTTCATGTATTTTAAAGGGTTCCTTGTAGAACTCAGTAATTAGTTTGAGATTTCTAGGAGCATATTTTGTGGGGGCTTTAATTACCAGAGAATAGCCAATTTTATTTTTCTTTTTGTTCAAATCTCACTTGCTCTTCCCAAGGTGGATGCCCAGTTACAGGTAGTAAGGAAACTGGAAGAGAAGGAGCATCTGTTGCAGAGCAATATCGGCACAGGAGAGAAGGAGCTGGGCCTTCGGACCCAGGCTTTGGAGATGAATAAGCGCAAGGTATGGTGGACCCCTCTGCAGTCAGATACAGTAGGAGTCTTGAGCAGTTAAGTATAACGTAGGTTAAGTTTTCAGTTTAATCCTTTCTTGAACTTGGGATAACATTTTTCCTTGCTAGAATTAAGGGGTGACAAAGTGGTGTTGTTTGTATGTCACATGTAGGCAATGGAGGCAGCCCAGCTTGCAGATGACCTCAAAGCACAGCTGGAATTGGCTCAGAAGAAGCTACATGATTTCCAGGACGAGATTGTGGAGAACAGTGTCACTAAAGAAAAGGACATGTTTAATTTCAAACGAGCTCAAGTAAGAGCAGTTCTCTTTTCTTTACATTTCATGCCCATGTGAATGAGTCATTCCTATAATGCATGTCCTTTCCTATTAGACTATAAGTTCTTTTAGGAAAAAACTCCATGTATTTTCTAAAATGGTATATCCCCCCCAAACCTATATAGTGCCTACTAGGTGGTAGGCATGAATTGTTTGAGTTACCAAATAATAGTCTAAACATCATTAGAACATTTAAAAGTTCTTACATTTCTTTATTGTGTCGTTTACTTTTCATGCCTTTCTAACTTTATTTATAAATCTTCAAGTTACTGTTATCCCAGTCTACCTTCACTTTAAAACTACTCACTATAAAATGAAATGCCCCAACTTTAAATTCTTAGATTGTGCTTTCATTGGACTGAATTGGCAGTAGTTGTTGTAATTCTGGTTTAGGGATATGATTGGTT